CATTACCAATCCAATCACTCTCTGCAACACCTAACCTCTGCTGCTCTTCTCTAATCCGAGAAACCAACGTCGCTTCCTCAGCCCGTCTCATCAATRTCTCAGACCACCGCTCTCCCGGTCTAGCCATGTTCCTTCCCATCAAATCCTGAAATTTACCGACATACTCGTGGTGTAGATACGGCTCTCTATCTCTCATAGCATCCTCAGAGAAATACTGTCCTTCTGATACAAGCTTATTCAAGTAAGCCAATCTCCTATTCCTCACAGCTACAGACCTCGATTTCAGCTCTTCTGAGGTCGGAGTTAGCTTCTTCCGAAGGTTTTTCAAGTGCCAATCAACCTCATAGTCATGTTTCAACGCATCAAACTCAACCAATTCATCTACACTCAGCTCCGATCCATAACGCTCTGAAATCAAAGCAAACAACGAATTCTCAGTTCCGAAATCAAAGTTTCCAGTCTTAAAATCACACTACACACTCAATATTTAGATGACTAAAAAGCCTAAAACTCATCCATTCACAAAATCGGTTTTAGAATCGAAAGATTCACCAGGATTTCAAAGCATCAAACTCAAGCAATTCATCTGCATTCAACTAAGATCCATATCGTTCTGAATCGAAACAGAACCGCTAAGTTTCAGTTGCGAGATCAAAATTAAGGAAGCAATAACTCAAAATATTCATAAATTTGCGCACCGACTTGTCGAAATCGGTAGTAGAAGAATTTGGACAAGGATTTCGGAAAATTACCAAGGAAAACGGCGGGATCGCGACGGAGGAGGTCGAGGAGGATGGGTTTGCGTTGGTCGGAAGATGCGGCAGTTGACTGGAAGGCGCGTGGGAAGTAGAGGTTATCGAGAGAAGAAAGCCTCGCCGCGATTTCTTCCGCCGCCGAGTCTTTCATTGCTCCTCCTTCCATCTTCTCGCGCATTGCTCTTTCTCTCGACTCGACCGACCAGAATGCTGTAAAACCGTTCGATCACGTGCTGGTCATGTGAGAAGACTTTGGCGGTGTTATTTAGGCCCATTGGGTTTTCTCGCGCGTTCCCTTACTTTATACCACTACCACAAATTGATTTTTGCTTTCAATTTAGATAGCCAATCCGGTTCACCATTTAATTTTGGTTCGGTTTTTGTGTTTTTGGTATCAAAGAAATTGAATCAAACTCTGTTAGAACAGCTCAAGTCTCCAGAGGTTTCACTGCAGTTTCGCCTCGTGTTAGACACTGAAACACAGATTCAGATGGTGATGTATGCTATCGAGTCCTAGAATCTTTGGGATGCACTGTTCTATCTGTGAACGAGCAGGCTCGTAGGGAAGATGCAAAGCCTCTAAATCAATTCGATTTG